GTGTCAGGTAGAGACCAAAACCTTTGCTTACTGATTTTTGCCTTTTAAACCTGTGTCGGGTAGAGACCACCCCTTTGCTGTATGATTTTTGTCCTTTTAACCCTGTTCGGGTTTAAAACCCCCCCAAACCCCTTGTGTACTGTTTGTTGTTGTTAACCTGTGTGGGTAGGACCACCCCATGTTGTACTGATGTTGTCCTTTTAACCTGTGTGGGTTTAAGAGCCCCACACCATGTTAATGTGGTTGTCTTTTAACCTGTGTCAGGTAAAAAGGAAAACCCACACCTTGCTGTACTGATGTTGTCCGGGTTAACCTGGTCGGGGGTAGAGCCCACCCATGCGTATGATGTTGTCCTTTAACCTGTTTTCGGTAGAGACCACCCCAGCTGTACTGAGGGTTGCCCTTTTAAACCTGGGCCCGGGTAGAGAAAAACCCCTTTGTTTTGTACGAGGTTGCCCTTGTTAACCTGTGTCGGGTAGAGACCCCCCAAAATGCTGAAATGATGTGTCCTTTTTTAAACCGGTGTCGGGTTTAAAGAGCCCACCCCCTGTTTGTATTGATTTTGTCCTGTTAACCTTTTTCAGGTGAGACCCCCACCATGCTGTACTGATGTTGCCCTTTTTAACCTGTGAGGTAGAAAACCACCCCAAGCTGTACTGATTTTGGCCCTTTTAAAACCGGTGTCAGGGGGGGACCACAAAAGGGCGGTACTGATTTTGCCCTTTTAAAACCTTGGGGCAGGTAGGCCCCAACACCAGGGCGGTACTGATTTTGCCCTGAAAACCTGTGTCAGGTAGAGACCACACCATGTTTGTACTGATGTTGCCCTTTTAAACCCTGTGGGGGGTAGGGACCCCCACCTTTGTTTGTATGAGTTTTTATTTTAACCTGTGTCGGTGGGGACCACACCCTTGTTTGTACTGATTTTTTCCTTTTAAAAGGGTGTAGGTGGGAGACCCCACCATGTTACTGATGTTGCCCTTTTAACCCTGTGTAGGTGGGGGGACCACACCAGCGTTGATTTTGCCCTGTTAACGTGTCAGGTAGAGACCACCCCCATGCTTTTATGTTTGTTGTCCTTTAAACCCCCTTTGTGTCGGGTTTAGGACCCCCACCATCCCTTGTCTGATGTTTTCCTGTTAACCTGTGTCAGGAAAGAGCCCAACACCAGGGGTTTTAGGATTTTGTGGGGGAAAACCTGTGTCGGGTGGGGGGACCAAACCAGCTGTCGGATTTTGCCCTTTTAACCCTTTTGTAGGTGGGAGACCACACCATGCTGTACTGATGTTGTCCTGTTAACCGTGTCAGGTAGGGGCCCAAAAACCATGCTGTACTGATGTTTTTCCTTTTAAACCCTTTGTGTCAGGGGGGGAGACCACACCATGTGTACTGAGGTTGCCCTTTTAAAACCTGGTCGGGTGGGAGACCCCCCACCATGTTTGTACTGATGGGGCCCTGTTAACCTGTTCAGGTGGGGAAAACACCTGCTGAAAATGTTTGTTGTCTTTTAAACCCTGTTTTTCAGGTGGGAGACCACACCATGCTTTTTCTGATTTTGTCCTTTTTTAACCGTGTCAGGTGGGAGACCCCCCCCATGGGGTATATGTTGCCCTTTTAAACCCTGGGGTGGGTAGAAAACCCCCAACCATCCCTTGAAATGATTTTTTGTCCTGTTAACCTGTGTCAGGTGGGAGACCACACCATGGGTACTGATGGGGCCCTTTTAACCCTGTGTCAGGTAGAAAAACCCACACCATGCGTATGATTTTGCCCTTTTAAAACCTGTGTCAGGTAGAGACCACACCATGCGTACGGGATGTTTCCTTTTAAACCCTGTGTCGGGTTTAGAGACCACACCAGCGTACTGATGTTGTCCTTTTAAACCCTTTGGGGAGGTGGGAGACCACCCCCATGTGTACTGATGTTGTCCTGAAAAAACCTGTGTCAGGGGGGAGCCCCACACCATGCTGTACTAAATTTTGTCCTAAAAACCCTGTTTTTCAGGTGGGGGGGACCACCCCCATCCCTTTATTTGATTTTTCCGGGAAAACCTTTTGCGGGTAGGGGCCCCACCCCATGCGGGTACTGTTTGGGTCCTTTTAACCTGTTTTAAAGGTGGGGGGACCCCCCCCAGCTGTATGATTTTGCCCTGTTCACCTGGGTCAGGTGGGAGCCCCAAAACCAGGGCTGTACTGATTTTGCCCTGTTAACCTGGGGAGGGTGGGAGACCAAAACCGGCTGAAACTGATGTTGTCCTTTTAACCCTGTTTTCCGGTAGAAAACCCACCATGCTTTTTAATGATTTTGCCCCTTTTAAACCCCGGGCCCCCGGTAGAACCACATGCTGACTGATGTTGTCCTTTTAAACCTTGTCAGGGGGGGAGACCACCCCTGCTTTTACGGATTTTGCCCCTTTTAAACCCTGTGTCAGGGGGGAGACCCACCATGCTTTTACTGATTTTTGCCCCTTTTAACCTGTGTCAGGTGGGAGACCACACCATGCGTACGGGATGTGCCCTTTAACCGGTCGGGGTGGGGGGACCACACCTCCCTGAAATGATGTTGTCCTTTTAAACCTGTGTGGGGGGGAGACCAAACCATGCTGAAATGATTTTGCCCTTTTAACCTGTGAGGTGGGGGGGACCCACCAGGCGAAATGATTTGCCCTTTTAAACCCGTGTGGGTGGGAGACCACCCCATGTTTGAAATGAGTTGTCCTGTTAACCTGGTCAGGTGGGAGCCCAAACCCCATGTGTACTGATGTTGCCCTTTTAAAACCTGTGCAGGTAGGGGACCACCCCCTGCTGAAATGATGTTTTTTCCTAAAAATGGTGTAAGGATAAAAACCACCCATGCTGTACTGTTTGTTGCCCCTTTTAAAACCCCTGGTCAGGTGGGAAAACCACACCATGCTGTACTGGTGTTGTCCTGTTAACCTGGGGCAGGGGGGAGACCACACCATGCTGTAGGGATGTTGTCCTTTTAACCTTTTGTCAGGTAGGGCCACACCATGCTGTATGATGTGGCCCTGTTAACCTGTGTCGGGGGGGACCCCCACCCCAATGCTTTTACTGATTTTTTTCCTTTTAACCTGTGAGGTGGGAGACCCCCCCCCCAGGTTGATGTTGTCCTTTTAACCTGTGTCGGGTGGGAGACCACACCTTTGCTGACGGGATTTTGCCCGTTAACCTGTGTCAGGTGGGAGCCCAAAACCATGCTGTCCTGATGTGTCCTGTTAACCTGTTCAGGTGGGAGACCACCCCCATGCTTTTATGATTTTTTTCCTTTAAACCCTGTTTTTTAGGGGGAGACCACACCATGTGTACTGATTTTGCCCGGGTTCCCTGGGGGCCAGGTAGAGACCACACCATGCTGACTGATGTTGCCTTTTTTCCCCTGTGTCAGGTGGGGAGACCACCCCCATGCTGTATGATGTTGTCCGGGTTAACCTGTGTCAGGGGGGAGACCCACCAGCTTTTACTGATTTTCCTTTTAAACCCTGTGTCGGGTAGGGGAACCAAACACCAGGGCTGTACTGATTTTGTCCGTTAACCTGTGTAAGGTGGGACCCCCCACCATGTGAAATGAGGTTGTCCTGTTAACCTGGTCAGGGGGAGCCCAACAATCGGACTGATTTTGCCTGTTAACCTTTTGTAAAGGTTAGAAAACCCCAAAACCATGCGTATGATTTTTGTCCTTTTAAACCCTGTTTTCGGGTAGAGACCCCCACCATGCTTTTACTGAGTTTTTTCCTTTTTTTAAACCTGTGTCAGGTGGGAGACCACCCCAGGCGAAATGATGTTGTCCTTTTAAACCCATGTTTTAAGGGGGAGCCCCACCCCATCTTTTACTGATTTTTGTCCTTTTAACCTGTTTTCGGGTTTAGAGACCAACCTGCGAAAGGGATTGTGTCCTTTTAAACCCTGGTCAGGTGAGACCACACCAGCTGTACTGTTTTTGCCCTGTTAACCGGGTTAAAGGTTTAGAGACCCCCACCAGGCTTACTGATGTTTTCCTTTTAAAACCTTTTGTAGGTGGGAGCAACACCATGCTGTCGGGATGTTGTCCTTTTAACCTGGTCAGGTGGGCCCACACCATGCTTTTACTGATGTTGCCCTTTTAACCCTGGGTCAGGTGGGGGACCACACCATGCTGTACGATGTTTTCCTTTTAAACCCTGTGTCAGGTGGGAGACCACACCAGCTTTTACTGATGTTGTCCTTTTTAAACCGGTAAGGTGGGAGACCCCACCATGCTTACGGGGTTGTCCTGTTAACCTGTGTCAGGTAGAGACCACACCATGCTGTACTGATGTTGTCCTGTTAACCTGTGTCGGTGGGAGACCACCCCCAAATGCTGAAATGAGTTTTTCCTTTTAACCTGTGTCGGGGGGGGGGGACCACACCTTTGTTTGTCTGAGGTTGTCCTTTTTAACCTGTGTCAGGTAGAGACCACACCATGTTGTACGATTTTTGTCCTGTTAAACCGTGTCAGGGGGAGACCCCCACCCATGCGTCCCTGATTTTGGTCCGGGGTTAACCTGTGTCAGGGGGGGAGACCACACCAGTTTTGGGTCCCTGATGTTTTTCTTTTAAACCTGTGTCGGTGGGAGCCCCACCCATGCTGTCTGATTTTGCCCTGTTAACCTGTGTCATGGGAAAACCACACCATGCTTTTACGGATTTTGTCCTTTTAAAACCTGGGGTCAGGGGGGGAGACCCCACCCATGCTGTATGTGTTTTCTTTTTAACCGTGTAAGGGGGGAGACCACACCATGCGTACTGATGTTTTTCCCTTTTAAACCCTTTGGTGGTAGGTAGAGCCCCACACCAGGGATTTTATGATTTTGCCCTTTTAACCCCGGTGCCCGGTAAGGACCACCCCCACGTTTGTACTGGGGGGGAGACCACACCATGCTGTACTGATGTTGTCCTGTTAACCTGTGTCAGGTGGGAGACCACACCATGCTGTACTGATGTTGTCCTGTTAACCTGTGTCAGGTGGGAGACCACACCATGCTGCCGATCCGCTGGATGCCCCCTGAGAGCATCATGTACAGGAAGTTCACCATAGAAAGTGACGTGTGGAGCTTTGGAGTCATCCTCTGGGAGATCTTCACCTATGGGAAACAGCCATGGTTCCAGCTCTCCAACAACGAGGTATACTGGACAGCTCTCTGTGATGATCTACTGATACAGTATTACAGAACTCCCATGCTTTTTATTGGAGGGGAGGGGTAATCAATTGAATTCAATTAATATTACTCTTACAAAGCAAGCGTATTAGTAAAAACAAAAAAATACTGGTGTACAATACTCATTGCATCCTCTCTCTGCCTCTCTAGGTCATAGAGTGTATAACACAGGGTCGGGTCCTGGACAGGCCGAGGGTTTGTCCCAAGGAGGTGTACGAGCTGATGCTGGGGTGCTGGCAGAGGGAACCACAGCAGAGGCTGACCATCAAGGACATGCAGAAGGTCCTCTGCGCCATGGGGAAAGCCACACCTGTCTACCTGGATATACTGGGCTAGCACCAGTAGGGTGAAGTGACCCTAGACGCTCACCTTGGATCAGTTTTGCATTTCCCTTAATAATATGCCATTTAGCAGACGCTTTTATCCAAAGCGACTTACAGTCATGCGTGCATACATTTTTGTGTATGGGTGGTCCCGGGGATCGAACCCACTACCCTGGCGTTACAAGCGCCGTGCTCTACCAGCTGAGCTACAGAGCCGACTAGTTGAAAAATCTGTTGATGTGCCCTTAAGCAAGGCACTTAACCCTAATTGCTCCTGTAAGTCGCTCTGGATAAGAGCGTCTGCTAAATGACTAAAAATGTAAAATGCTTGTTAGACTGAAAGACAACCCGTTACCCAGGAAACCCCCAGACTACCCGTTACCCAGGAAACCCCCAGACAACCCGTTACCCAGGAAACCCCCAGACTACCCGTTACCCAGGAAACCCCCAGACTACCCGTTACCCAGGAAACCCCCAGACTACCCGTTACCCAGGAAACCCCCAGTGCCTGCTACACTTTGTCCATATACTGGATAAAAGTATCAAAAAACATACTTTTACATTTTGTTTACTGATATAGTGTATATGATGTATAGTTATTCAATGAAGATTACATTAAAACAAAAAGTAGCAAAAAAAAGCACTAAAAATAATAAATAATAATGTAAATGAAGGGAAGTGGTGATGCTTTGGAACAGCGACAGCACGGCAGAAGAATAAACGTTCCTGTGTTTCCTTTTTATTAGTATATATTGATATATTACATATATATATATATATTATTTATTTACTTTTCATTTGGAGATGTCAAAGTCTCCCATGTCTGTCGCTAAGGACACACCCTTTTTGGAGAAACTGATACTGTCAGACTATTGGCAGGGACTTGATGATAAAAGCCTTACTGCTCTCTGATTGGCTGGATCGGAGTTCTCATGCTAATGAGGCTCTCCATTTCTGTCCAATGAACACTGTATGGAATCCTGGAGACAGAAGAACTACCCAATCAACAGCCAACAAACTACAACTCTATTTTAATTGAAGTGAATGTACATAATGTAAATGTCTGTATGTTAACTTATCTTTCCTTGGATTCTTCGTTCCTTTTCCAACACGCTGGGTAAATGGACTAACTAGATATTCTCTGACTTCCTGTTTTTCATCAAAGTACGATCACGGAGGTGATCAGTTATTGTCTTCAGGACTCACATAGGTTAGGTTAGGGTTAGGGTTAGGGTTAGGGTTAAGGTTAGGGTTAGGGTTAGGGTTAGGGTTAAGTTCATAGACACAACTCTAGAAAGAGAGAGACACTTTTTCCAATGCGGAGTGCACCAAAAGAGAGCTCGCTCCAAATCAGTGGAGGCTGCTGAGGGGAGGACGGGCTCATAATAATGTCTGGAACGGAGCCAACGGAATGGAGTCAAACCGTGAATTTGATACCGTTCCACTGATTCTGCTCCAGCCATTACCATGAGCCCGTCCTCCCGAATTAAGGTGCCACCAACCTCCTGTGCTCCAAAGTCATATTTCTTCAGGAGGTGATAAAATCGTATATAACTTTCCAGTTAGTTTTCTTTTTTACGGTTAGAACGTGTTAAGACGTCCCACCACCGTCCGCCAACAAACACACGCTTTGACACTGGTCTGTCATTTTCATGCTTTATGGTGTGAAACTGTGCTGTTGCACTCTCAAGAAAACATTTTTTGTAACCGAAAGTATTCCTAGACAATTTTAGCCAATTGGTCAATTATGTATAACACACACAGGTTTAAGGGAAACTCAGCTACACTGGGGTTGAAGATGATACCTGGGTTATTTCACACAGTATCGTGTTGTGGGGTTGAAGATGATATCTGGGTTATTTCTCATGTTGTGGGGTTGAAGATGATATCTGGGTTATTTCTCATGTTGTGGGGTTGAAGATGATATCTGGGTTATTTCTCATGTTGTGGGGTTGAAAATGATATCTGGGTTATTTCAAACCTCAGCATGGCTTTCTTTTCCACTTTATGTGATGAGTTGAACACACCAAGTTTTCGGCTGGAGAAGGAGACGTTTCCTAGTTTATTGAATTGACTGTCGATACATGACTCACTCATTCTCCCTGCTGCACCAGTGGCCTTTGCATGCTCAGCCGGTTGAGTTTTTATCCACAGTTTGTTGATTATTAAAATCAATAGTGCAGCGAGCAGACAGCAGGCCAGAGAATGTGTTGTTTCTGCTGACTTCACTGCAGTTTGGAGCTACCGAATGCACTTAAACTGAGCTGACACTTCCACACACGTCAGATTTGAGACACTCCCTAATTCATCATCGTACCATTGTCATGTACTTAGTGTGCAGGTTTCTCTTTGAGCATAACTGTATACCGCAATGCGACATTTCACACAAACCAAATTAACATATACACTCAGACCGGTGTTGACAAATGACCTGATTTGAGACACTCCCTAATATGTTATTGCTCATCTTATCACTCCCTAATATGTTATTGATCATCTTATCACTGCCCCTAATATGTTATTGATCATCTTATCACTCCCTAATATGTTATTGATCATCTTATCACTCCCTAATATGTTATTGATCATCTTATCACTGCCCTAATATGTTATTGAAATCTATTCAACTCCCTAATATGTTATTGATCATCTTATCACTGCCCTAATATGTTATTGTTCATCTTATCACTGTCATATACTTCAAATATTACATTACACAAATGCATGATGTATACAGTGACGCTAAGCATCACACATACCAAATGACCATGACAGCACTGCCATGCTTTCTAGACATTTAGTTTCTATACCAAATGAACATGGACAGCCCTGCCATGCTTTCTAGACATTTAGTTTCTATACCAAATGACCATGGACAGCCCTGCCATGCTTTCTAGACATTTAGTTTCTATACCAATGAACATGGACAGCCCTGCCATGCTTTCTAGACATTAGGTTAATACCAAATGACCATGGGACAGGCCCTGCCATGCTTCTAGACTTTAGTTTCCATACAACGACCATGACAGCACTGCAATGCTTTATAGACATTTTAGTTTCCCTTACCAAATGAACATGGACCAGCCCTGCCATGCTTTCTAGCCATGTAGTTTCTATTCCAATGCATGGCAGAAGCTTTACCGATCACAATCGTTCACTGAGTTACCCAAAGGATCTACAGTGCCTTCGGAAAGTATTCACACCTTTTGTTGTGTTACAAAGTTCGGATTAAAATGGATTTAATTGTCATTTTTTGGTCAACGATCTACACAAACTACTCTAATGTCAAAGTGGAAGAAAAATTCTAACATTTGTAAAACACTAATATATACTGATTAGTTAAGTATTCAACCCCCTGAGTCAATACATGTCAGAATCACCTTTGGCAGCGATTCCAGCTGTGAGTCTTTCTGGGTCAGTCTCTCAGAACATTCCCCATTATTCTTCTCCACGTTCTCTGAACTCTGACTAATTGGTTGCTGATCATTGCTAGACAACCATTTTCAGGTCTTGCCATAGATTTTCAAGCAGATATAAGTCAAATCTTTAACTTCTTGATAAGCAACTCTAATGTATATTTGGCCTTGTGTTTTAGGTTAGTATCCTGCTGAAAGGTGAATTCGTCTCCCAGTGTCTGGTGTAAAGCAGACTGGACCAGGTTTTCCTCTAGTCTCCCAGTGTCTGGTGGAAAGCAGACTGAACCAGGTTTTCCTCTAGTCTCCCAGTGTCTGGTGGACAGCAGACTGGACCAGGTTTTCCTCTAGTCTCCCAGTGTCTGGTGGAAAGCAGACTGAACCAGGTTTTCCTCTAGTCTCCCAGTGTCTGGTGGACAGCAGACTGGACCAGGTTTTCCTCTTGGATTTTGCCTGTGCTTAGCTCCATTACGTTTCGTTTTTATCCTGAAAAACTCTTCAGTTCTTAACGATTACAAGCATACCCATAACATGATGCAGCCACCACTATGCTTGAAAATATGAAGAGTGGTACTCAGTAATGTGTTGTATAGGATTTGCCCCGAACATAACACTTTGTAGTCAGGACAAAACTTTTTTTGCAGTATTACTTTAGTGCCTTGTTGCAAACAGGATGCATGATTTGGAATATTTGTATTCTGTACAGGCTTCCTTCCTTTCACTCCGTCAATTAGGTTAGTATTGTGGAGTAACTACAATGTTGTTGATCCATCCTCAGTTTTCTCCTATCACAGCCATTAAACTCTGTAACTGTTTTATTGTCACTATTGGCCTCATGGTGAAATCCCTGAGCGGTTTCCTTCCTCTCCGGCAACTGAGTTAGGAAGGACGCCTTTATCTTTGTGGTGATTGGATATTTTTGTACCCATCTACCAATAGTTGGCCTTCCTTTGAGAAGCATTGGAAAACCTCCCTGGTCTTTGTGGTTGAATCTGTGTTTGAAAGTCACTGCTCGACTGAGGGACCTTACAGATAATTGTATGTGGGGGTATATAGATGAGGTAGTCATTCAAAAATCATGTTAAACACTATTATTGCACACAGAGTGAGTCCATGCAACTTATGTGACTTGTTAAGCAAATTATTACTCCTGAACGTATTTAACTTGCCATAACAAAGGGGTTGAATACTTATTGACTCAAGACATTTCAGCTTTTCCTTTTCTATTAATTTGTAAAAATGTCAACAACAAAAGAAATTCCACGTTGACGTTATGGGGTATTGTGTGCAGGCCAGTGACAATAAAATCTCAATTGAATCCATTTTAATTTCAGGCTGTAACACAACAGAATGTGGAATAAGTCAAGCGGTGTGAATACTTTCTGAAGGCACTGTATGTGATGCAGAGAAATGCTACAACATTGCGATGAACAACGTCAACGTCAGCAGGGTATTGTAATTTCATAGTGAGTTGAATATCGTTTTCCAAAGTATTTTTGTTGTTGTTGATTATTTTCATGGATTACCTAACTGAACACTTTTTGGGGAAACAGAATTGACATATCACATAGATATT